ACACTAGAAAAGCCTGATTTTGGAAGGTTTTTGGGCCAAAAAGTAATTTTAAAATGATTCAAGCCAAATAAAAAAAAAATGCCCTGGAGATATTCACACAAGCTATCATAATGCCAAGTTTCAGAAAAATAGACTGAAGGGTTTTTGAGATATCTTTGTCTACAGCACACGGCCTACGGCTTACGGCTTACAAATTGTGATAGCATTAGTCCGTTGGTCCAAAGGACTAAAAATGCAATTTTTCTTCAACATTGTGTTCTATGGAATTGTTTTAAAAATAACAATTTTCAAGAAATATTAGGACATGTTTCTCAAAAAGCATAACTGTAACACACAAAATAATGCTATTTCATTGTACCATGGGACATTAGCTTCATGATTGTACATAATAAACTATTGAACATTGTCATGCGATTTATGACCAATTTTGTCAAAAATTATGACTAGGCTTCTACCTTAAGTGCTGACCATTTGAAATCGAGGAAGGATATGTTTACTACAAACACAAAATTGCGGAGTCACCCAAATAAATCACACTACTGAAATGATTCTGCAGTGATGTATGTTTAGTAACTTAACCTTTTGCAATCATTCTGTTGTCTAATATCATTCAGCATTTCAATATGTACACTTTTTAATTACAAAATAAACTTTCAAACGATGCCCTAGAGTTGAGCAGTCAACAACAATAGGCATTATGCATGACCCCTAAAGGTCAATCATCCTGGTACTTTCTGGGGGTTTTGTCCTAAATCATAATTCCCAATAATAAAATGTTTTTGAACTGATTTATATTCATATTTTGAAGAAATTCATATTGATAGGTACCCTCGAAAGTTATAGGATGTGTGACCTTTTTCGGACCATGCACACAATCGAGTAAAACTTCATTTACAGCTATGAGGATGATCGATGCACCTTACTGAGTTATTACCAAAATTATTATTAGAGATTATAAATAACAAGCAAAAGTACATATATATATATAAAAGATATATGCTTCTGGGGGAAATTAACATATATAGTAACATATATACTATGAAGGAAATTAACATATTTGGTGGGATATAATCACTAAGCAAAGTAATCACTATGAAGAAAATTAACATATTTGGTGGGATATAATCATTGAGAACAGTAATCACTATGAAGAAAATTATCATATTTGTTGAGATATAATCAATGAGCAAAGTAATCACTATGAAGAAAATTATCATATTTGTTGAGATATAATCAATGAGCAAAGTAATCACTATGAAGAAAATTAACATATTTGGTGGGATATAATCACTGAGCAAGGTAATCACTGAAGAAAATTTACATATTTGTGGAATATAATCACTGAGCAAAGTAATCACTGAAGAAAATTTACATACTGTAAAGGGGGTAATTATTCACTGGGTTTAAATTTAGCTTATTTCGCTGACTGGAAAAATGCGCTAAATTAAAACACAGTGAATATGTAAAATTTAGCATAGAACACATTATCTTAATGACGAAACCGTGAATTTAAAACCCACTGAATATGCCTGAAATGGTAATCAGTGAAATTTAAACCCAGTGAAAATTAGTCATTTTACAGTATTTGGTGGAATATAATCACTGAGCAAAGTAATCACTATGAAGAAAATTAACATATTTGGTGGAATATAATCACTGAGCAAAGTAATCACTATGAAGAAAATTAACATATTTGGTGGGATATAATCACTGAGCAAAGTAATCACTATGAAGAAAATTAACATATTTGGTGGAATATAATCACTGAGCAAAGTAATCACTATGAACAGTGCTTGCAGTTGTATAATCTCAATTCAGTTCAATGTGTGACACAGTTTATTCAGTTTTGGGACAGAAATACAGTTCTTTTAGTGTTAGATACAAGACTGCTTCAGCCAATCATATGGCTAGATTCAGACTATAGTATGTCATAATTACTGATACAATGATAGTATATTTCTGAATACTATTGTATGCAATTTCTGTATATACTTTTTGTTTATGCTCTGATTAAAATATTTTGGATATTTGATAATCAACACAATGGCAATTAATATTATAAAATGAGGCATTATTTGATACTTTGGCTTAATTTTGCGAAAGAAAAAATAATTTTCAGTCATCAAAAATTTTGACATTTTTTATGCAGTGTAATAAAAAAGATATTCATTGTCAGTTCATTTAGAGAAGGCATTCAATGTCAGTCTAGTGAAATATAAGAGACATTCATTGTCAGTTCATTTAGAGAAGGCACTCAATGTTAGTCTAGTGCAATATAAGAGACATTCATTGTCAGTTCATTTAGAGAAGGCACTCAATGTCAGTCTAGTGCGATAAAAAAGATATTCATTGTCAGTTTAGAGAAGGCACTCAATGTCAGTCTAGTGAAATAAAAAGATATTCAATGTCAGTCGAGTGCGATAAAAAAGACATTCATTGTCAGTTCATTTAGATAAGGCACTCAATGTCAGTCTAGTGTAATATTAAAGACATTCATTGTCAGTTCATTTAGAGAAGGCACTCAATGTTAGTCTAGTGCAATATAAGAGACATTCATTGTCAGTTTATTTAGAGAAGGCACTCAATGTCAGTCCAGTGCGCTAAAAAAAGACATTCATTGTCAGTTCTTTAGAGAAGGCACTCAATGTCAGTCTAGTGTAATATAAGAGACATTCATTGTCAGTTCATTTAGAGAAGGCACTCAATGTCAGTTTAGTGAAATAAAAAGATATTCAATGTCAGTCGAGTGCGATAAAAGAGACATTCATTGTCAGTTCTTTAGAGAAGGCACTCAATGTCAGTCTAGTGCAATATAAGAGACATTCATTGTCAGTTCATTTAGAGAAGGCACTCAATGTCAGTCTAGTGTAATATAAGAAACATTCATTGTCAGTTCATTTAGAGAAGGCACTCAATGTCAGTCTAGTGCAATATAAGAGACATTCATTGTCAGTTCATTTAGAGAAGGCACTCAATGTCAGTCTAGTGCAATATAAGAGACATTCATTGTCAGTTCATTTAGAGAAGGCACTCAATGTCAGTCTAGTGCAATATAAGAGACATTCATTGTCAGTTCATTTAGAGAAGGCACTCAATGTCAGTCGAGTGCGATAAAAAAGACATTCATTGTCAGTTCATTTAGAGAAGGCACTCAATGTCAGTCTAGTGTAATATAAGAGACATTCATTGTCAGTTCATTTAGAGAAGGCACTCAATGTCAGTCTAGTGCAATATAAGAGACATTCATTGTCAGTTCATTTAGAGAAGGCACTCAATGTCAGTCTAGTGTAATATAAGAGACATTCATTGTCAGTTCATTTAGAGAAGGCACTCAATGTCAGTCTAGTGCGATAAAAAAGACATTCATTGTCAGTTCATTTAGAGAAGGCACTCAATGTCAGTCTAGTGCAATATAAGAGACATTCATTGTCAGTTCATTTAGAGAAGGCACTCAATGTCAGTCTAGTGTAATATAAGAGACATTCATTGTCAGTTCATTTAGAGAAGGCACTCAATGTCAGTCCAGTGTGCTAAAAAAAGACATTAAATGTCAGTTCAATGCGATTAAAAAATACATAAAATCACAGTCTATACATCAAGTACACACAGTATGTGGGCTCTTTGAAACCTTTATTCATTCAATTTGCTATAATTTGAGTCTGGTTTCACAATTGGCCTGTATGTTTTCCCAGTCCTATCAATCATATTGTAAGGAGACTCATCCCCTCCATGTGTAGCTTCTTCCCCTGTACCTAAAATGTTGTATCCCCCACCACCAGTATCCCATGACCTTTCATATTCATTTTCTTGCACGTTATTTTCACATGTTTTTCTCGGTGGTGTCTTCTTCACAGCCGCAAATTCAGGAAATGTTGCCTCTTGCATGTCCGTGATTGTCTCATCTTCTAATTCTGCATACACAGGTTCTGCAATACTTGTATTCTCTTTGGAATGAACCACTTCAGGAACATCATACACCACTTCCCCATTTTTTGAGCCACGAGATGGATCCCCCATGTCAATAAAGAACTCTAACTGCTCTGCAATACCAATGAAAAGAAGATTGTTGCACAGTACTTCTCGTAGACTAACAACAATGACAACAAAGATGAGAGGACACTCTTTTGCTAACCGCTTGTGGTCATACAGTAAAGCTCTTAAAGCGAGAGGGTCGTCACCGGCGTACGCACGGGAATTGAGTCCCAAGCAACGATAACAACACACGCTAAGAACGCAAAGTCTCATGGGTAGATGCTTGTTTGTAAACAATGACACGCTATGGCCATCTGATGCATGCGCAGATGACGACTCCCTCGCTTTAAATTCCATGAGAGACAAATATTTGCAAATTTTACAAGTAAGAAAATTTATCACAATCATAAATTCCAACATATTACTTGCTGAAAACCTGCAGGGATTGCCAAGAAAAATAGGAAATACCTGTTCAGATAATAAAAAAGGATACATCAAATGTGACCTTGTTAAATATGGATGTGTAACTGCTGGTGACATTGTTTACCCCACATACAGTTAGGAACCGTGCCCCACATAAAGTAACAATCAAATGTTCTAACGAGTGTGAATATGCTGAGTTCAGCAATTACTTCAAGGGCGTGTTCGTCGACTGACTACTACAAACGAACAGCTGAAGAACCATAAGGTGCGTGAACATCGTCGACTGACTATCTCAACTCTGTAGCCAGAGAATTGCAAGGTGCAAGGACGTCACCGTCTCAAATACATATTTCTACGTTGCCGTTCCGGTGGTTGTGTATTTCCACATAACCGTAGCCAAATGTATTTCTTATGGAACTGACTGTGTTCACGAGCTGAGCTAAAGTGTTTGCGTACATATTATTATATTGAATCCCTATGATCTGTATTTGCATGACAGTATATTGTAATTGATCAACTGCAAGCATTCCGAATAATTGTATATTTCTATTGTTGTGTTTCCGAAGCCACTGTTTAAATATAATACTATTTGTTGTAGTGATTATTGTGATGTTTCGACTTTATTGTATGTAACTTTTCATATACTGTACAAGTGATACCTATATACACACACTATATACATTTATACGAATACAATATTTAGTTCTGATAACAACTTGTTTTGTGTCGTTTCTTGTTGCAATTCCCTTGTTTGAGTTTCGACTTTCGATTCAAACTCGACCGTAACAATGATAAATACGACTCAAATGTCAGGATATCATATATAAGAAATGATACAAGTAGGAAAATGCCATTGGGGGAGTAACTATTTTTGTGGGAGTCAAGCCGATGGCTTGGCAATAACATATATATTCCAAAATATTTACCTAGTTAGATTAAAAAAATAACAGAAATTTCAATTGATTCCCAGCAAAATCGCCAAAAAATGACTATTAACATTTTCTCCACTTTGACCTCACATAAACACACAACTCCCAAAATGTGAGATACAAGATTAGTGATTTGGTTGGCAAGCAGTGTCTGTGTAATATAAAACACTTGAACTGTTTTGACCCAGAGGTTTCAACCAATCTTTTGGAAGATAGGCATTTCTATGACATCAGAGTGAAAAACAGTGTTGTGTTGTTATTTTTTTAACACAGTCCTCATTGTTGTAGAAAACATGCATTCCTGAATCAAATGCCTATAAACATGCCTACACAAAATGTATGTGTGTCATAATGTGTTTATATGTAGGTGTCAACTTTAAATGTGCTAATTATTATACCATTTTTAATCTCGTCTGAAAAACAAACTTTTGAATAGAATATGTCCGTATATGATCAAGAATTAGTATACCAGTAGTAGCAGATCATACAGCAGTGATATGCCATATGTTAGATTTTTACTGAGAATGTGGACAAAATTAACTGCCCATCCCTCAAACAATGTATTTATCATAGTAGCTACATACAGTAATACATACCAGTTGCCGCCATGGTATCTGTTCTTCTTGTTGCCTTAACGATGCCTTGATAATTACCCTGCCTGAAGTAAATAAACAAAATTTTGATTTCAATTTCTTTTTTAATATAATTCTTCTAAACCTACTACACATGTAGATACCCCAAATACACCTGAATCACAGGTAAGCTTTGTGCTTGTTGCTCCTATTGAATCCATGGTGAGTTCAAATCGTACAGAGGGTTGAAGACCCCCCCCCCCAAAAAAAAATTGACCCACATGCACAAAGCCATTGGATGAAATTCATTTACTAACGATAACAACCTTGGTTGAAGTCCGCAGATACATGTTGTCTGGCCTTCATTGACACCACCCTTTCACAACCAGTTATCTCTATTTTAAATTCACAAAATAATCCTGTTTACTTTCTTTAGAAGATTGCGACAAAAATAACAATTTTTTTTGAGTAAAACTGAAAATTTACTCAAATTTTGCTTTTTTGCTCAAAAATTAGGGTTCATTTCCAGAAATATTGAAGAATACAAGAAAAAAGTGCAGAAAAATGTGGGCATGAAAGTCTGACGGCGAAAAGATTAAGTTGCCATCATGATAAAAAAAGGTCACACACCTACGGATGTCTTGTACAAACGTTCCAAACATTTCATTAACAGTTACACAATATATACTATAAAGATGATTTAACAACTGGCACAAAATTATCCACAACTCAGATGTATACATGTGTACAAAGACAAATTGACAACACCTATTTTTACCTTTCACATAAAAAAAAAAAAAAAATGAAGCACAAAAATGAAAAATGAGAAAAAATGATTCTGCTAAAATTGATTACTTTCAGGAATAACAATTTTCAAAAAATGTAGATTCATTCATATTCTATCAGATTTCTTTTTACCTTTTTTTCATGCAATTCAATCTCTTAAATATAATCACTATTGCTATGGTGACTGCAATGATGAGCAGAAGAAAGGCTACTGTCAGACCAATGGCTAAGGAAAGATTGCTTGCATCTTGATTACCAGCTGGGATATGAGCTGCTGAAATGAACATGATAACAGTGAACATATGTCACATTCAATGTAGGTCCCATGCAACCCATGCAAGGCTATTGTATATATAAGTGAGCTTCACAACAACTTGGTCTTCAAAGTCAAAGTGAGAAATTTGGTAGTAATGATTATTTTATGGAAGGAAGGGGACAAAATGAGGTGTTACAGCGGCTTTCATAAAATGTTGTCATATGAACATTTTTAAAATTGCACTGTGGGATTAGTGAATAATAATAATTAGTGATTGTTATGCGTATTTTATATGATAATATGAATATGCATAAACTAAAGCCAATAGTTGAGGATTTTTCCTGATTCATACACCCATGTAACGTACCTTCCATAATACAACCTTGTTCCAAACTGCTGTCGTCCACAGTAATTCAGAAACTTCATGAAATTCATACAGAAATATCAGCAAATGAAATTTTAAGTTAATCAAATGGGTACCCAAACACGTGCGGAAAATCGTTAAAACTAAATCTTTCCTGCAATTTCCACAAATTCACACCATCATACTACACACATTAATCACAAAACCCCAATGCAACATTAGAAATGATATATCAAAGAGCAACTTTGAATCACCAAGAAAGGGAAAGCTTATAGTATCATACTTTAAACAGGTTAAATTTTGTGAGAGATAAATTCATGTTAATTTTGTGAAAATGTGTTTGGGGTTCTATGACATTGGTGTCTTTCACAAAAAAATAAAATCATACTAAGATACTAAGCAGTGAAAACAAGTAATTGCATTAAATAGTCCCTGTGAGTTATTAAGTTTGTATACAGTTTGAAGATGATTCGTCAGGGCATTTCAGACACATGGCTCAAAATCAGCAATGATTAAAACGAAATGCCTGACAGTTAGCCATTTTGAATCTGATTTGAAAAACGTAATGATGTGCATCAAGGTCCTATAATGTACAATTTTTGTTCGTTTTTTTGATTTGAACAGAATATCCACACAAACACAACCAAGATGTGATTAATTTTTCAGCACAGAACTGATCGCCAATCGTCAGGAACTTACAACTAATTACATGTTTTACAGCATTTATACTTACCGTAACATGTTCCATTTACACAAACCAAATTTTTCTGACACTGACATTGATCGCTGCAACTGAGTTCACATGGGGTGTCACACCTATCACCAGTCCAACCATTGCTGCAGATACAATTTCCATTTTGAGGACTACAGAGGGCGTCATTCTCACACTGGCATTTGTGCCGACACAGTTCACCATAGTGCATTCCATCACAAGGGGTTTCACATCTATCCCCCTCCCAGCCAGCAAGACAGAGGCATTCTCCTGATATATAATCACAGCTTGCATTGTTCATACACTGACATTTACTCTGGCAGTTTATTCCATAAGTGTTACTTGTACAGGGGGTGTCACACCTATCCCCAGTCCAGCCATCAGTACACTGGCATTCACCTAGGATGGAATGACATGTGTAACCATTCATACAATGTAAGCATCTGTCGCTGCAATAATTTGTCCCGTTCGCTAAAAAAATTGATTCGTCACAGTCTCCACAGCGAGGCCCAAGCCAACCGAGTGGACATTGGCATTGTCCAGACCGTTTTTCGCATACAGCGTCATTGTAACAAGGGCAGTCCTCTTCACAAGCTGACCCATATTTTCCTGCCTCGCACTGACAACCATTGAAATGATCACAGAACTCTGAACTCCCACATTGGCATTCGTTTTCACAAAACACGCCCCAATAATTCGGCAGACATGTACATGTGCCATCTCGAAGATCACAATGTGCGTTATTTTGACAATTACACTGATGTTCACACAAGTATCCGTAGTGATCTCTGTCGCATGTTTCACATTTATTACCCATCCAGCCTTCAGAACAATTGCAAGCACCGTCTGCATCGGGATGACAAGTATCACCATTTGTACAATGCAAACACCTCTTCTCACAAAATGGACGATCGGTATCTCTATACACCAGACTACGATCACAGTCAGTACAGTCACGTCCAGTCCAGCCCGGCGGACAGTTACAGTCCCCTGTATCACGATTACATCTTGGAGATGCACCATTATAACACAGACAGTGTAATTCACAATTTAATCCATATCGTCCATCTTGACACTGGCAAGTATTGTCAATAAACTCTTCATAAGCTTCGCATTGATGTGAGCAAAACTCTCCCCAGTACGTTGGCCGACATAAGCACTTACCGCTTAACCGATCACAAGTTGCCCCGTTTTCACACTTGCATTTGTTATCGCATGTTGTACCATAATATTCCATATCACTACACTCACATCGACCGTTGATGTGATCACAACTCATTGTATCACAGTGCGGACTGCATGGGTTTGAGCATTTATATCCATAATATCCAGAAGGACATTCTGTAGTTGAAACAAAAAAACAACAGCAGCTCGCTCATTCTGTTTGAAAACAGAGTGGAATGAGGGGGGTTGAAAGTAATATTGTTAAGGGTGAAGAGAAAACGTGAATAAAAAACTTGTAACCTGGCATATGTGAATATTTGCAAAAAAGCAAAAATATAATTCATGTGTTCCGAACATTTTATGGTAAAAATAATGTTCCACGATCATGTGTTTATTTGAGTGACTCAAAAAAATCTTAGCACATTAGAGCAAATATCATAAAGTGAAATCACCACATACACAAGATGTTGAAATAGTTTACTCAGAAAGTACCAGGATGTGTGACCTCTAGTAGGTCATGCATACAACCCCTGACAATCAAACATACTTACCAACACAGTTGGTTTCATTCAAATAAAACCCGGCACAACATTCCAAAACACTGAAATAGAAGTAAGCTATTAGTATTATAGACTATGTAAAAGTTTAAAGGGTATGAGTATGCTAATCGACTTTAAAAATAAGCAACCAATCAGAACTTGTGTTACAGGCTGCTTGGTTTGTAGAGCAACCATTGTCCTGTTCTAGTTCTAGCATCATGTTCAAAGCATGTAAATTATTTTAGTTTAGTTTAAATTTATCATTTTTTTATTGTTGAAACTTTTAATATTTTTTCTTGAATTTAATTTTCAACTTTGTGCTGTATGGTTGGAATAAAGCAATTTTTATCTTTACATTACAGCGGGTGGCAATAAACTCATCATGAAAATTACCGGTACCGGTAATATCTTCCTTTCAATTTCCTTAGGAACATTGCAATATCCCTTGGAAGATTCTCAGTTGTCTTTGTTATTCCACTGTTGAAAATTGGCATATCAAAAATACCACTGTATTTGATGGAGGTGTTTGAATTTGAAATTAAATTGCTCGCTTGTGGACATGCAATAATTTGTTGTGTTCAAATGTATACCACTTTATGAAACAAATATTAACCATTTTAGTGATAAACAATTCCTTTGCCTGAAATTTGATAGAAAACTGTCTTCACGGAGAAACATTGCCTACAAAATCAACCGTTCGATGGCATCATTTGAAAAGTACCCAGTAATAAAGAACAACGCTAGTAAACAGGTAAACAGTGAATATGGATGACAACGTATCATGATATTCATACATATTCACAACCATGATTTGAATTCTCATCCTCCAAATAACACATGTGTGAAATGAATAGTTGAAAAAATTGTGATATATATGATTTTTTTCCTTATTCCGCACCCCTGGTGACAATGTTTGTGATTAGGGTGCCGTCTGTAAAGACAGAAAGTGACAAAGTGAAAACAAACATTGCTAAAGGAAATTGCAATATTCTAAAGGAAATTGATAGTGCATAGTTGTTAGTTGGATCTGGACTTTCTCACCTACTTAATACATATTGCCCCTGGTTGCAGGTTAACCCATGCGTGTTACTTAATATTATACACTCAGTAATTGCCTATGGAAATATAAACTGTCTAAAAGCTGAATAAAAATGCTTCATTTTGTTTTAAAATTCAATTCTAGAACTGCTCTGGACCATAAAATTACATTGAGCAGACATGATAGTCTGATAGACTAGAAGTTACGCATTATTCAATATTCGGGGGACTGTACATGTGTCTGATTTCACTCTGATTGATCCGAATTTTGCTGAACAGTAGATAGTTCCACCTTCAGAAAGTCGTCCACCATCAGATATATATATACTGTTCAATAATTAATCATAATGGTACAACATAGCCTGACAAGTTGGCTTGGTGGGGATCGCAACAGTCCAGGGCGCCACCTACGCCAACTTGTCAGGCTAGGTACAACACAGAACATTTATAATTTACAAATAAAAACTATTATTGTAATTGGCTCTTACCCGTCATAATCACAGGCATGGGAGTCTGATGACGAAACTGGTGAAACAGGGAACTGGGACATCACCGAACTTAAACCAACACTTAAATAAATGAAACATAGTAGAGATGTCGATTTCTGTGTCCCCATATCGCCAGAAATGTAATATTACAATACTCAATAAACTTGGAGTCAATTTAGCATCACCAAATTAGAGAGTTAAAGCATGGCAGCTTGTACAGTGTCAGCTGTCACTTCAAAATCTTCAGACAATAGCTCCCAGACAGAGACAACAGCTAGTTTCCTCGGGCGTATTTTAGCACCACAGGCGAATACATAACACTCATATGGCGGATCTGCAGCAGTGTGACTCACACCAGACATCGACAATTACCTGCAGGGGCGATTTCATTTCCCTAACACTCAGACAACTGCAAATCTAGCTCTGTTATTGTTCGTCGTCCGTCTTTGTCTACTTCCGTGTTCTCTGATCATGTCGTAAGCGGGCGCTACGCTGGCGGGTGGCTCACGCTTTGCCGAATTTTGCCGAATAGCGAGTACACACATCGGGAATCTTCGGTCTCGCGTGCAGTATTTTGTTCAGATCACCAGTAACGAGAGAGTTTTACTTCCAGTTGTCGAATAATATATTTTTTAAGCCAAAATTGACCAAATCTTAGGCGAGTAACGGTTATTACCAAACGCTTCAGCGTGGTATTAAGATTTTGTTTTCAGGCTTGGGTGGTACCAAGGTGGAAAATGGTTGCACATATGGGGGGTAATTCCTGGAATTGCAATAGAGAGGGTTCAGGCCGAAATACATATATATAGTGTTTCCATGTTTCGTCTGATATTTCTGTGGTATT